TCATAGATTCATAACAAAAATGTAGGCCTTAGTCCCTTTTTTATATTATCAAAAGTTTTGAAATCATGATATTTTGGAGTAAAGAAATTGGTCTCTCTATTGAATTACAATTCCAACAAACTTGGCATGGCTAGATAATCACCATTACTAGTTTCCCTATACATATTGAACATCTTAATCAGATTCTCGAGTCAAAAATGTTGTTAATAGTTTTTTTTACACGAGACAATTTGTATTAAGTTTAGTTATATTTACACACACAAAAATACTATGGGTACTTCTTTGCAAAAAAGAGAATACTTTTAACTCCATTTCCGCAATTTCCTCGAACCAAAACAACGCTTCTTCCCCCCCCCCCCCCACACACAGAATCAGGCAAAAACCCTAAAAATCTCAGAATCTCAGAAATGCTTGCGAAAGCAGCAAGAGAGCTTTCATTTTCATCATCAAAGCTGAAACCTTTGATTTCTCTTCCTCTCTCTTCCTTCAAATCCTTCATTTCTACTGAATCAAACCCTTCCATTAGATTCCTTACTTCATTTCTCAATCTTCCTCACTCCAACATCAGATCAAAATCGCCGTCTCTCCTTCTCCCTTCGCGTCACTATTCTTCAAATCTTCTCCCGCTTAATCGAGATGGGAATTACGAAAGTGCCACTTCCGTCACCATCTCCGTTTGCCCAGGTTGCGGAGTTCATATGCAGAACTCGAATCCGAAACACCCAGGTTTCTTCATCAAACCATCGATCGATAAACAAAAGTCCGATACGAATCTTCATCTCGTACCCACCGAATTCATCGATTCGATCAAACGAGGGTTTATCGTCGAACCAGATAGTTCTGAATCTGACCTAAACCCTAAAGATGAACCTTCAGATGGAAGACCCTTGGTTTGTACTAGATGCCATTCACTGAGACATTACGGGAAAGTGAAAGATCCAACTGTGGAGAATCTGCTTCCTGATTTCGATTTCGATCATACGGTTGGTAGGCGATTAGGTTCGGCTTCTGGTGCTCGAACCGTCGTGCTTATGGTCGTTGACGCTTCGGATTTCGATGGTTCTTTCCCAACGAAAGTTGCCAAGCTCGTGTCGAGAACGATCGATGAGAATACCACGGCGTGGAAAGAAGGGAGATCAGGTAACGTACCTAGAGTCGTCGTTGTAGTGACTAAGATCGATTTGTTGCCGAGTTCGTTATCTCCGACCAGGTTTGAGCATTGGGTTAGACAGAGAGCTCGTGAAGGAGGGTTGAGTAAGATCACGAAGCTGCATTTCGTTAGTCCTGTGAAGAATTGGGGAATCAAGGATTTGGTGGAAGACGTTGCGGCGATGGCCGGAAAGAGAGGAAATGTGTGGGCGGTCGGGTCGCAGAACGCCGGGAAAAGCACTCTGATCAACGCCGTGGGGAAGGTTTTTGGCGGGAAAGCTTGGCATTTGACGGAGGCTCCGGTGCCGGGAACTACATTGGGGATAATTAGGATCGAAGGTGTTTTACCGTTTGAGGCGAAGCTGTTTGATACTCCAGGACTGTTGAATCCGCATCAGATCACGACGAGGCTCACTAGAGAGGAGCAGAAGCTTGTTAATATCAACAAGGAGCTTAAGCCTAGAACTTACAGGATCAAGGTATGGTTCAATATTATCATCCTTTATACAGTTTTAACCAAAGTGGATTCTGTTTGTTTATTAATGATTGATTGTTAATTGGATTTTTCTTGCAGGAAGGTTATACGGTTCACATCGGTGGGCTAATGAGACTTGACATTGATGAATTATCCGTAGATTCTCTATATGTAACAGTTTGGGCGTCTCCTTGTGTTCCACTTCACATGGGGAAGAAGGAGAACGCTTACAAAACACTTGAGGACCATTTCGGTTTTCGATTACAGGTAAAGATCTGTCTTTCTTTTGTCCTCTTTGCATTGGAAGTTGTAGAGGATAGAAATATGATGAATCTCTGAACTGAACACCATTTTATATTACAACTTTTTCTCAAAAGTAATTGCATACACCGATCTGCACATCACTTTGTAATTGACTTGGTGTTGAATTGAAGTTAGGACCAAAGCTGGATTTGAACAGTGCCCTTTGATACAAGTTTTAACCTTTGTGCATTTTGATTCTTGATGAAGCCGCCAATTGGGGAGAAGCGTGTTGAAGAATTGGGGAAATGGGTAAGAAAGGAATTCCGAGTGAGTGGGAGCAATTGGGACACAAGTTCAGTAGATATCGCCGTTTCTGGTTTGGGTTGGTTTGCGATAGGATTCAAAGGAGATGCGATTTTAGGTGTTTGGACTCACGAAGGGATTGATGTGTTCCTCCGTGACTCATTGCTCCCACAACGCGCACACACTTTTGAAGATTATGGTTTCACCGTTTCCAAGATCGTTGCTAAAGCTGATAGAGTTTCTAATCAAATTCGTAAGGAGGAAACGCAGAAGAAACGAAGACCCAACAAGTCTACTTCAGATTCTGTATCTGACAGAGAAAGTTGCCATGAGTTTTCGGTTTAGTACTACAACCTTATAGATATCTACCAACAATGTGAATCTTACAAGCTAGTTGATTCATTTTTCTTGATTTGTTGACATTACTCGTTCCTTGAATTTCTACCAAGGTTTGATAATGTTTTTCTTACTTCAAAGCTATTTCATTAGAAATATTTGTTACATGAACCAGTTGTTACACAAGGCTTGTATCTGAAGACTATAGTTGAATCATCCTTTGATTGGAAGATGTACAAATTTAGTCCATAAACGGATTAATCCTTAGCGATTAATGGTACCATTCAAATCCGAAGGTAACAAGCATGGCATTGGTTAAGCCCGAGAGGAGTGGGTTTGCCGTTTGCTGGTCCGAGTCCAAATTAATCCGAAATGTTGAGCTGATGGATCACATTCCCGTGGTTCCTCAAGCAGATCCAGGTCCATAGTTACCATTCAAATCCATAAGTACTAATCAGGACGTTGGCTCAGCTTGAAATGGTGCGGGTTTGCTAGTCCAGTTCCAAGTGAAGCTGAAATGTTGAACCAATGGGCCACATGGTGGTTTGATGGTTCGTCGAGCTGAAGGTAAAAATGGTTTGAGTAAACTGAAATCTCAATTGAACAAGTCTAAAGAACAAGAACACATTATAGACATAGAAGATTTGTATTAGATTATACATAATCGATCAAACAACACATAATGTCTCTGTAGGAAAACAGACTCAAGCTCTCTCTCTCTCAGCTGCAAATCGGACATGGAACAAGACCGTTCTCATTACACTCCATACATCTCACAACCACGGCGGCGTTACCCCATCCTTTCACCATTTTACAGCTCCCGTTACACCGGAAACATGGCAAGAAAAACAATCCGCCGCATCCATCACACGCACCGTCCCCGCATCCTCCAGTCTTCTTTCTCGGCATTCCGCGGATCAGCTCGCCGAAAAGACCTTCTTCGACTAATCTCAACACTTCCTCTGCTCCACCAATGTACATTCCCTTCACGAAAACTCTAGGCGGCAATGCGTCCTCGTTTTTCCTAACTCTCTTCGCCATTAGTGTAACGAGCTCTTCTCTGAATCCCCTATCCATCGACACATCTCTCTCGCAGATCACTACACCGTAACTCTCCACCGCCGCTCTCACGGCGTTACACGCCTCGAATGTCCGGCGTACACCGCGCAAAGACGTCGTGTAGATCACCACACGATTCTCTCCTCCTGGAGGACAAATCCTCTCAAATTTCTCCTCCAATTTCAGATCTAGTGGCTTCAGAACCTCGTCGGTAACAAAATTTCTAGGGTTTTTCCGATTAGGATCCGAATTCTCTCCTCCTTGAGAACAGATCCTCTCGCATTTCGGATCTAGCGGTTTCAGAACCTCGTTGTTCAAACATTTTCTAGGGCTTCTACGATTAGGATCGGAATTTTCTTTGTTTACTCCACCGAAGACTTTGTACTTCACCGGAGTCTTCGGGAGAGGCGTGAATCGGAAACTTTCGCCGTCGAGACCAGACATGAGCTCCCAGGAGTTAATAACCTCCGGCTCAGACTTGATTAGCCTTGGCTCGGACAACAAAAGTGACTTTGATTCAGTGGAGATGGTGGATTTCT